ATCATGTGAATATTTTTTTGGTCTTCTAGTTAAGTTTGAGAAAATAGAAAATTCTTTGTCCCCTCCTTTCTATTACTTGTCTATTTGTGGTACTCTTTCAAATATATTTATTTCTTGGGAAGCTGGTTTCTGCAATTTGCGCACTTTTAACTTTTATTTGCTATGTACGAACTCTTTGCTTTCCTTTATGGAAAATTAAACTTCTCCGTCCTACACCATGAGGATTAACTTTTCGGTTGCTGCTGCAATATTATTTCAGAAATGGTTGAATGTATGAAGAAAGTCGCTAAGCTTGATACGGAATTGACTGTTGAGGAGAGAAATCTCCTTTCAGTGGGTTATAAGAATGTGATTGGAGCTCGCCGAGCATCTTGGCGCATCATGTCATCTATTGAGCAGAAAGAAGAGTCGAAAGGGAATGAACAAAATGTTAAATTGATTAAAAGCTATCGTCAGAAGGTGGAGGAAGAACTTACTAAGATATGCAATGACATCCTCGCCATCATAGACAAGCATCTGATTCCGTCTTCTGGCACTGGAGAATCTTCTGTTTTTTACTACAAAATGTAAGTTACATACCTATACTTCTTTTTGTTTAATTTTAACGTTTTTTATCCATAATCAATCAAACTGTTAGAAATTTTCATTTAGCAGTTTTAGCTTCACTTATCTTGCTGGATGTTCTTTTCTGTATATCAAAGATAATGTGCAAGTAAATTTAAGCTTATGATGTAAAGAGCGTGCAAGTCAAAACATTATTGCACATGTTTCTTTACCAAGTTCACCATGTAGTTCTTTTAGTAATGTGCATCTATTTTTTCAAATAAGCTTGGTCCTTCCATCCTCTCACTGTAATATGGATGAAAATTCCTGTCACCAAAACTTTTGACGGATGCGCATCTTACTTGACATGCCTAGACGGCTGAAGAACTATTCTCATAATTTTTTATGGATAATATCAAGTGTATGAACATTGTACATGACAATGGTGCATCATTGTTTTCTACCAAATGCCTTGAAGGTCAGGCCTTAACAATGGGTCAAATTTAAGTTTTAATAGATGTCATACAAACAGACTCATCTGAAAACTGAAATATGTTTAACATGAGATCGATTTTAGTTACACCTCTCATTGTGTCTTCGTATGGCTGACTGTAACCATAAGTACTTCATTTAAATGAAACCATTTGATGGTGATGAAACTGACTTCTCCACTTGGGACATCTATTATTATTATCATTATTATTATTATGGTTTTGGTTCAACTTTGGGTACACTATCTAACCAAACTATCGATGAAATTCTTTGAAGTAAACACTTCAAAGGCGTTGAACTTGGACTCTGCTATTGTGGTGTGTGTTAGGTCACTTGAGTGTTTATAAATCTTGTTTCCTCTGTCATGTATTTCCAACTCCCTGAATTGCACATGGCTCTTTTTTATTAGCTAAAGCCCTCCATCTTTTTTCTGGGGAAAAAAAGAACTCTCCACCAGTGCATGCTTCTACATACTTTTACCACGAATTTATTTACCTGTTGAGGCGAATATTCAGGAAAGGGGATTACTACCGCTATCTTGCTGAGTTTAAAAACGATGAAGAAAGGAAAGAAGCAGCCGAGCAATCTTTGAAGGGATACCAGGCATGTCCAAGTTACTCTTTTGTTATCTCTTATATTTTTTCCAACAACTTTTACATTTTTGCAGGCTGCATCTAACACAGCCAGCTCAGACCTCCCACCAACCCATCCAATTCGTCTTGGCCTCGCTCTCAACTTTTCAGTCTTTTATTATGAAATCATGAATTCACCTGAAAGGTGTGTTCGGTTTTTATTTTTTAGTGATTTCATGTGCTATCTATTAAACTTTCACTATGTGTGACAAATTTTCAGGGCATGTCATTTGGCAAAGCAAGCCTTTGATGAGGCAATTGCAGAACTGGATACTTTGAGCGAGGAGTCATACAAGGATAGCACTTTGATCATGCAGTTGCTTAGAGACAACCTTACTCTGTGGACTTCTGATTTACCTGAAGGAGGTACTATAATCACTGCTTGTAAAAGATAATTCTCTTGGCTAATAGAAGTAACTTATCTACAACATTTTTTGACTCTTTTTTTTATGAGATTCAGGAAATGTTAAATTCCAAATTGTCATGATCTGCGTTTGGTCATTTTGTCTTTACTTGAAATGTGATTTGCTACCCGCCGGCCTGCACGCACGCACAAATAATGGATATCCTTGCCATATGAGGGGATTCTCTTATATGAAGGGACGTAGATAAATCTCAGCCAAGTGAATAAATGGGGCATTATCACACTTGGCTAAGATTCAACCACATCATTTGTATATGAGAGAATTCTGTCATGTGATTTGTGATACCCATTAATCTCTCTCACATTCTACGAAAAGATGGCGTCATTCTCTTCATTGTGTTATGCAAAGTTTTCTGTGAAGCATAATGATTTGATTATGGGCTATCAGGCAAGGATTTCGGTTATAAAATCGTATCATATTTTGCAGGTGAGGAGTTCAAGGGCAGTGAGGAGGCTAAAGATGCTGCTGCTAAACCTGAGGTACCTTACTAATTAATCAATTTACTATCTTAGTTGATGATTTGTGTTAATGAACATGTAAACTAATTGCAGCACCAGTGACGGAGCTGCGACTGGAAGTGTCCTATACTTGGAGACCGTGATTTCAACTATCATGCAGCATTTAAGCATCATCTTATATCTATTATATCCAGGGGTCTCTTCCTAAAAAAAGATTTTGTTGTTCTTGTTGTTGCTTCTTGCTTCTCACTAGAATGTGGCATTGCTAGTTATTTATTGGCCACTTTGGCTTTCTCTTTTATGATATTGATGATGCTAATGCATCTTATAACACCTATTTCTTAGGTTAGTAAAAGGTGAGGGCTGTGGTGGTGGTGGACCTGGTGGTGTTGGTGAGATTTGTTTTATTTTGTTTTTCCCCCTCTTTTTACCGGTGTTTAAAGGCTGATGATTAGTCAAGTGTGCGCTATTGAATCTTTTCTCGGTTCAGTATATGCTCCTCCTTAATTCTAATGTCGTGTATTTGCTTGCTTCGCTACTCATTGGTCCTCTATATGAATCTTTTTGTTCGGTAATGTATCTTTTGTTTTTTGTTTTTCTTTTTTCTTTTTTCTTTTTTCTTTTTTTTTTCCTACTTTGGTTTATCTTGGTGCACCTCGTGTTGGTCATATCAGCAGTTTATCTTCTGAGATTAAATATGAAATGGTAAAATACCCATTATGCGTACTTCAATTTGCGGAGAGCTAGATTCAGAAGGAACGTGATTATTATTAGAGAGGTAATTGTTGGAGTTGTGGTGTCTAATTAGACTATGCATGCTGATCTCTTGAAAATTATATGTCACATAGAAGGGTAAATTTATAATTCTACATGTAGCTTGTAGCCCGCCGTTTATTCAAAACCCCTCAGAGAGATCTGAGCCCTTCGTTGAAAATCCCATCCCCCCAAAATCCCTACCCCTCTCTCATCTCTCCCGCCCAGATCGCGCCATCACCTCCCGCCTCCTCCTCTCCAGCGCCCGAAATCGTCGCCGGAGCTCGCCGCCCCCGATCATCGTCGCCGCCGGCTCAAGATCGCGCATTCGGTCGCCATCACCGACCTCCTCCCCCTCACCACCGCCCGAAAGCGCCGGCGCCCAAGCTCGGCCTGTGTCTCGACGTCCCCGATCAGCGTCGCCGCCGTCCCCTTGCCCTAGCCATCACCTCCCCTCCTCCTCTCCAGCGCCCGAGATCACCGCAGCTGAGCGTCGCCGCCGGGTCATCGCCGTCTACTCGTCCTCGCCATCGAGCTCACCCCTCGTCATCAGCCACGCCTCCGACGGCATTCGAGCTCAGCCCTCAGGTTCATCGCCGCCTCCGGAGATCGATCAAGCCCTCGACGTCATCCTCGCCATCACCTCCCCCCTCCTCTCCACCTCACGAAATCGTCGCAGCCTGCGCTTGCCGTCCCCGCTTAGTGTTGCCGCCGGCTCATCGCACTTCGCCGCTGTCGAGCTCGCCTCCACCGAGGTAAGGCATCAGGTC